CAAGATGTATCGTGGGTTACATCCACACTGATATTGTATTTCTTTGTGAGGGAGAGAGAGCCTCTGAATAGGAGAGTGAGGCTTCTGAGGGTGGGAATCAGGCCTAAGAATTGGCCTTTCCTAATGAGGAGAGTGAGGGGTCTTTTTATAGAATAAGAGCTCCTCATTTATTACATATTTGCCCCTTCATTTATTACATAATTACATTTGAGTCCCCTGAGTATTTATACGAGGTCTAAATACGGAGTCCCTAAGTATGATACAAACACCCTTAATTCAACTATGATATAGTTTCAAACTTTGGTGATTTTTGGTAAATATAATTTTTGAATAAATACCCAAAAAATATACGGTTCAATTCGTTGAAATTTATTATTATGTGACCCTCACAAAAACGTATATATGACATAGTCTGTTTAGACGTACTTTAACCCTTAGAGTAAAACTCAAATTTTAGGTTCTAAACTTACCCAAACTTGCTCTAATTCTTGGGGCAAATATGAGTTAAAACCTAAAACTCATTTATGGGGCAAATTTAACTCAGGATTCCCTTGGATTAGTGGGGCTAACCCAACATATATGTGTATTTTTTTTAGTTTTATATTTATAAATTCATTGAATCCAATGGCTAAGATCTAATTTGATCAAATCTAATAGTAAAAAAAATATCTAACAGTCTAAATTTAAATCAAATGGCTAAAGTAATTGAAAAAAATTATTTTATGTGTTTTGTATTCTTTTGTAGTGTTCCACAAGTTTCATGGTGCTGGTTTAATGATTTTTCAATATTTATCGGAATCTAAATATTTTTAGGTTAAAATGTTCATAAAATTAAATTAGGATAGTCTACATAATTTTTATATAATTTTTTTTAAAAGTTACTTTAAGAAAAAAAATATCCTAAATTCATTCTTTAATAATCTCGGGCTAAAAATTTAACCCATAAGGGTTGGGGGAGAAAAACTGTTTATGGGTTAAAATCTAAATTTTTTGAATTAAAAATTTTAGGTTTTAACCTAAGGGTTGGAGATGGTCTTAGAGTTTGTATATGTGGGATTGAGCAACAAACTTCCTTGTATATCTACAGCGATGGATTCAGGTATGCTTCGAAAATTCTATGTTTATTGTTGTATATATCTGCGATCATGGATTTACTTATTTCAAATTACGTATATATTTGAGTTTATGGAGACTCACTTCGTGAAATAACAAAATTCGATAATAAGACCTAATTTAGCTTGAAATAAAGAGTTTGAATAATTTTAAAGTAGTTTACAAATCGTTGTGCATCAACGCCAACAAAGCCATAGTAGCCCAAAATATAAGCATAATGCTTGTGTCCTCCATAGAGGGATTTTTTTGTTCACCCACTCACAATTAACAAACTTTTATCGCCCGAACATCATAAGTGGAACTGCTCATTCTTTTTATCATCACCTAAGGGTCATATATGCAAAAAATTATTCAATTTGGAGATCTTTAACTTGGTCATTCATACACCTAAAACAAATGGACGGTTCATCATGAGAACATTACTTGTTACCAAAACTGTTGATTGGTTTAACACGTATGGATGACTAAATGATCTCCAAATTGAACGATATTTTTTTTTGTATATAATCTTTAGATGATAATAAAGAGAAGAGTAATGCTAAGGAGACTAAATTTGTGGACAAAACTTACAAACTAAATGACGTGTCACCAATAGAAATGAGCATGTTTATCAAGGCTGAAGTAGTAATCCAATCATCAACTTCCATGTCATTTAGTTTACAAAATTTTGTCGGCAAATTTAGTCTCCATATGTTCGGACGGTAATGTTAATCGAAAGTGGGGGGAGGGACACAAGCATTATCCAAAAATTATTCAATTTGGAGATCTTTTAATCATTCATATGCATAAAACAAATGGATGATTCATCATGAGGATGCTACTTGTTACTAAAATTGTTGATTAGTTTAACACGTATGGATAACTAACAATCTCCAAATTGAATGATTTTTTTGTAGATATAATCTTTAACTAATGATAAAGAAAGTGAACGGTTCCATTTATGATGTTCGGATGGTAAAGGCTAAATCATAAATGGGAGGACAAACAAATCCTTCATAGAGAGAGACGATCGTTATCCAAAAGGTAAATAAATAGACACAGTAATATTTATTGTCATATATCAATTTACATAAATGAAAGAACCACGATACTTTCATATGCATATATTATGCTCGGACAGCATATTCAATTTTTTTTTTTTAATGAGCATTTCGAATTTCTTTTTAGTCTGAAAGCTCTCATATGAGCAATTTTTAAGGGATGCAAACATTCATCTTGACTGGAACATGTAAATTTATATCCATATTTGCATCTTTAGAAAGTGGGCCCTGCAAGTTGAAGATAAAATAAGAAAGCTATTACGTAAATCAAGAGCGAAAATAAATGAGATACAAATTTACATATTCCATAATGGAGTGAAATAGAGACGCTAAATTTATAATGAAGCAAATTTCCACGCCAGGTTGGAAGGTTTTCAAGTTCCAACTGACTCTGTTACTGTCAGGAAAAGAAAGATTTACATGGAATATAAACACCAAATAGCAAACAGATTCACCTTGTGACGCTAGGCTGGAAGGGTGTTTGAGTTCGAGGTCGAGCTGATCCTGTCGATGTCATCACTAGGAAACTAATAAGGAGCAAACTTTGAGCTCATTAGGATCGTAGATATATTTTTGGTTATACGAGAGAGGATCAGAATGCTCCTTGATCTCTTTCGTGTAGGCTAAAGCAAATTACTTCTCTATCTGGTCAAAGTTTTCTGGTATGTCAACTTTAGAACATTAATTATTGATAGCTAGAGCCAATACCTTATGGGTGTGTTTGTTTGGCCTCATTAAGTGGGATTGGACTGAACTGGACTACTTCCTAGTGTAGTCCCATGTTTGATCCGTGCTGGGACTAAGTTAAATGAGATTAAAGGGGATTCGCGTGGACTATCGGCCTCACTAGAAGTTCTTGGCGAGACCCTCCCCCAACCATGGGACTCGCTAAGACCATCTTTGCTTTGCTCTTTCCGCTTGGCGCTTGGTCCCTTCCGCTTCGCCCCTCCCATCGACTTCTTCTTCCCTACTCCTATCTACTTCTTCTTCCCCACAGCTTGCATAGAGACAAAGAGAGAAAAAGAGAAGAAGGACAAAAAGAAGAGCCGTAGAAAGAAGGCAAATGGGAAAAGGTTTTGTTATGGGCTACTGGGTGAGAAGAAGATGGAGGTCTGATTCTCCAATTTTCCTGTTTTTTATTTTATTTATGGGATTAATATGTTTGGATTCTGAGAAATCGTTCAACCCATTTCGCTAAGGTTCTAATCCTCTGTTTGTTTACACCTATTTGAAATTGCAGAATCTAGGGCAAGCAAGGACAGCGGTCATCGATGGATCTAAAGTCGAACTGGGTGACCTCGAAGATAACTTCATGGGTATGTTTAATTTTTGTTTTGGTGAAATGGGTATGTTTTGAATAGTTGTTTTCATGTTTGATTACTGTTTTTTCAGTGTTTTATGCATTTTGGTTGTCAGATTTTTGGTAGTTGATGAATCCAATGTTGGGAAATCGAAGGTGAACTGTGTTCGCCAATTTCTCCAAGAATTCCTTAAATTTAGCTTTGTATCTCGATTTTTCGATTGTGTTCTACCACAAAGATTGTCAATTTTGTGTGTAATTTTTTGTCAATTTTGTCTGTAATTTTAGTTTTCTTGAGTCAGTAGTGGCTAAGTGGTACGAGCGGGTGGTAGGTGATTAGCGCCGCTGTAATTGTTTATGTACTTTGCAATGGCATTAGTCTAGTGTACTGAGCTGCAAATTTTTATTAGAAAAGTAGTATGAAAGACAGAATTGTGTGTCTCAGCATGCTTGTCTATTTCCTATCAAGTGTTCTTCCTAATGTTATTACTTTGTGAAATGATCAAATGAGGATTACTTCCTATTCTGAGCAAACACCAAATTGGTGAACAGTACTGTTTTCATTATCCTGCTTCTTAGTCCGATATTGCACCAAACGCTTCACTAAGTTAGTCCAGCTTAGTCTAGTCTAAGCCAGTCCAGCTTAGTCCCTGTAGCTAGTCCAGTCCGAGACAGTCTGGTGCAACAAACGCACCCTATAAAAAATCAAATTCCGGTTGAATTTGAGAATATCCACAAATAATAAACTTACTCCTAGAATCGAGTGTTTGACAAAATAGAAAATGATAAACATTATTTAAAGCAAGAGAAAATACTAAAATGCTTTAAATATTGTCATGGATTATGAATTGTATTCGGGTGCTACATGATCGTATGTGTTAGGGCTGCTTTGATATTGTTGTACTTTTAAAATAATTTTTTTTCTGTTGTATTGTGAGAATGATCAAATGTGTTAGGGCTTGTTTAGTAGTCAGATCAAAAGCTAGAATTAGTAAACGCGAGAAGTCAGAAAGAAAAAAAACTTTAAAGGCACTTGTATGCCCATAATATTATTTATATTTCAAAGAAAAGCATTACAAAACCTATTACTTTAGAAAGAAAAATACTGACTTGGTAATAAAGAAGGATTTTAATCCTAAGACCATTCATTTAGCCTGAAATCGCTCAAAATCCATCTCCAATAAGAGCAACTCCACCTTTGCTAAGGCCCCCCAGGGCTATTCACTATTTAATACACCCAGTGAACAGTAATTGCCCTTAATAAACAGTAACTGCCTTTTGCATCTCCACCCCTACACTGAATAGCCTGGCAATAGGTAATAAAATAATAGTAATTTTTTATTTATAAAAAAATACAAAATATTTATTTTAAGAAAAGTACAAATTAAAGATTAAAGATTAAAGATGCAAATTCCATTGCAAAGTTAATGTAGCTTCTCACATTTTAACTAGTCAAATTTTGACTAAAGTTTTCATCTTTAAAATAGTTTGCTCAAGCAATTAACTAATCAAATCAAAACTCGCACAAACCCCAAAAGGAAATTTCAATGGCGTCGAGAATATCTCTGAAAAGCAAGGGCAAGACTCCGACGAAGCCCTCCAAGGGCTCGGTGGCTCAATCCTTCAAGGAGTGGAGCACGCGGGCCTTGAAGAAGGCCAAGGTCGTCACCCACTACGGCTTCATTCCCTTGGTCATCATCATCGACATGAACTCAGAACCCAAGCCGTAACTTTCCCAACTTCTCATTCCTGTCTGATCCGATCCCAGTCGGATCAACTAATTTTCGTGCTGGGTTTTCGGTATTATCTCTAATGGGTTTTGTTCTATAAAATTTGGGGTTTCTGCTTCGTCGCCACAACCCATCCACTGTGAGACGACGCTGTCGTTGAAGAACCATGAAGGTTGGGAGAGAGAAAGGGAAGTTCGGCCCGTCCAACATGTGGCTGACGTCAGCCTTGTGTCACATGCCCTTCGGGCTCTCGGGCTGGCAACTCCTGCTCAGCCTCTCCCTCGGGCCCGCTCAGGCTCCATCGTCAACACACGCTGGACCAAGTTGCTCAAGCTTTCTGGCCCTGTTTGAGAGCCAGTCCACCGGGCTATTGCCCACAGTGGAACTACTCTAAAAGAGCTAAATCCTAGTCAATATCGGATTAAATCCTTTATCACTGGGCCAAATGGGCATCACACTTGCCAAACATAGCAAGCCCAGTAGCCTAGGGCTACATTTTTTTATGGGCTCCACTTGCTTTTATTATCGTCTCTCTCTTCTTGATTCGATTCTCCTTCTCTTCTCTTTTCTCTATTCTCTCTCTCTCTCTCTCTCTCTCTCTCTCTCGTCTAAGGATGATCAGGGAAGGGTTGGATGGAGTAATTTGGTGGTAATGTTTGGTGTCATTGTAGTGTTGAGTTGGGTGAGATTTGGTGGTGGTGGTGATGTCTGATTGTGTGAGATCTAGTGGTGGTGGTGGTGGTGTTTGATTGTGTGAGATCTGGTGGTGGTAGTGGTGTGAGGTAGAGATGATAAAAATATAGTTCATGTTGCATAATAAATTAATAATATATTAGATGGCTAAAATGTAGCCCCAAACTACATTTAGCTCTCATGACTGAAAATGGCCTAAAAGATCAATTAAAGTCAGCCAAGTGGCTAGGTGAGCCTTTTTTTTCTTAAGTTAAGCTTAATTTAAGGTTTTTTTATATAGCCACTTAGTACTACGGTCTAGTGGTATTTCCTCTTCACTTGTACGTGAAGGTCTTAGGTTCGATTCTCGTCAAAGGCGAATTTGAACCACATTCTTGCTAGCCCATTGTGAGGCTAAACCCACCTCTATCCCCCTCAGTGTAGATAATATCATTTGCATTTTGTGGGTAAAACTTATGCCTTCCTTACATCTACTATATCCGCCTCTGACTTGTAGGCCTTTGTTGTCAGAAACTGGAATTTTCCTCTACACTCTCTATTTCTAGCCCCCTGAAATTAACAGATTTAGGGGAGGAGAACAACTTCATTACCGGTGGTATCTTCATGAAGATTGGAATATATTCAAAGTGTTCCAAACTAATTCTGACAAAAAAAAAATTCAAAGTATTCTGAATTTTTAAAGTTATTTACTCAAAATATGCATTTTGTAATCAAATTTTATATTTTATTGTTAGTTTTGGATACCTTTTGTTCATTATTTTTCTATTAAACATAAGAAAAAATGTGGCGCCCACAATTCACACATTATCATTTAATGGTCAAATTCACCGATTGACTAGCAAATGTATGACATTGCAACGAATTCGCAATTTGATGTATGTTATTGCAATGTTAAAAAAAATGAGGTATGAGTTTGTTATGTGACTCAAACTTGAGAGTGCAAAATGTAATTTACCCTAAAAAGAATAAGCATACTAGTATACCAAAAAAATTGAATTTATACGTAAATATATACCAAATATTAAGAATGAACAATAAATTACATGTGCGAAAAAGCTCGAGAACCTTCATAAACATATATTAATGAATTTCCAAATTATGTTCCGAACTTTTCGAGATTATTCGGATTCTAAAAATTCTTAATTTGAGATTGTGATCTGATGTGATCCGTTCCAATTTCAAAATTTTGAAACAGAAATTGAAACCTTTGTTTCCAATCCGATCCATACGAAACTCAGACCTAAACTAGCGTCACATTTGAGTAAGGGTTTGACTTCGAACGTCCAACTTGACAAATTTGCATATATTTGTATAGGAATGCGGTGTAAAGGAATAAAGAACAATAACTATTGAACTGAACTAAATTGAAATACACATATATATTGAATCAATAATGTTGGAGGACTAATGGATTCTTCAAACGTTCACACCACGATAACGAAATATGTATAAAGTCTAAATGTTCCTGTGGAAAACCCTATATCCCACCTATCTTCCTCCTCCTCTCATTTTTTTCCTCTCATCTCTTTCTTTTCTTTCCTTAATCTACTGTCTACTTTTCATGTACGTCGTAAAGCTAGAACGAATTTGAATCAGTTGTTGGTGTCCCTCTCGATTCTGACTCATATATATATAACGTCAAAATATTAATATCTAGGTTCATAAAGTGGATCGAAAACATGGGAAGAGGCTGCTGGCTTCGGTTGAATCGGAGGAGAAAGAGGAGGATCAAATCTTTCCTGTTTACTCGACTCGATCTCAGCAAGACACTTCTGCCATGGTTTCAGCTCTAGCTCAGGTGATTGGAAAAAATAGTGACCAAATTAATAACCCACTTGATCAAGTGCAAGGAATAAATCCATTAATCACCTCACAGTCCAGCCCTACAGAGACTCAATCTCAAACAGTACTTCAAGATCAAGGTATTATATTTTATATATTATCAACAATGAATTAATTTTCCTTTTGGTTCTCCGTTACAAAAATAACTTTTTGGTATATTTCCAGCATAACTACTTGATCTCCCTCATAAGGGATTTAGCGAGCTTCTGTATAACTAATCATATGGTTTTCGTCCACCTTTTAGTTGTGGATTGTGGCGTCCCTATTCTCCTACTGCTCACTCTTTATTTCTGGCATTGAGATTGGATGAAGAGGTTGTGCAGAAATCATTATCTTTATATGGTTATAGATTATCACTCTATCATTCCTTTCTCTAGTATAATGCTTCAACTTATTTGTTCATTTTTTCCTGATTTGAACTTTATACATATATTAGAAGAGATAAATACCCAAATGGTGCATATTAGGATTTCGTGACCCAAGAAGCGAGTATTGACTATGTTCAACTAACAAAAAGTGAAATGTTATAATATGTCAAATAACAATTGAGCACCACGGATAGGAATTGAACCTAACAAGAAGCGAGTATTGACAATGTTCAACTAGCACGATCCTTCTAGCATTACTCAAACTCGGTACTGTCTCCGCCTATGTATGAAATGATTCTTTTTCAGGTTTGATATTTTTGAGAAATTAATATATATGTTTGTGTGCAGGAAATTTGAGGAGACAACATTACAGAGGAGTGAGGCGGAGACCATCGGGAAAGTGGGCTGCTGAGATTCGTGACCCGGTGAAGGCAGCCCGAGTGTGGCTGGGCACTTTTGACACAGCTGAGGCTGCAGCACTAGCTTATGATAAAGCAGCTCAAGTTCAAAGGAAGCAAAGCTAAGCTAAACTTCCCTGAGAGAGTTCAAGGGATCTCTGAGTCAGGTTGCCTCGCATTAATAACTACTGATCAACAAGACAGCTTGAACATTAATCCTCCTCAGCCTAATATTACTCGACCAACTTCTTCCAGTGTTTTCGATTGTACACAATATAATAATGTCACATCTTCTACATCCTTGTTGTCGTCGTCCTCCATGCCATCTCAACAAGCGGCAGAGCTCCCAAGCTTTTCGATGCAGTTCGGTTCTTCTTTTTCGAGTTCAAGTTCAGGTCCTCCTCATAAGTATAGGAAAGACTTTGACAGCAGTCACTCAAGATGACAAGAGTGAATTAATAGTTATGTTAACGGTAGGAGATCAGATTGAACGATCGATTAAGGAGAGTAAAAGGCTCATATAATTTTGATGCATGTGTGTTTTTCTTTCCCTTTTTTGGTTTTGTTTAATTTCTTCTGGTCTAAAACAACTTCTTTCTTATATCAAATTAATTAAGTTCACTTCAGTTTGTATTTGATGACAACTAATTTGACAAGAAGCTAGATAAATTTTTGCATGTGTGCGCCACCCTGCGTATGGTATAAATTGAGAAGTTATTTCGTATATCCCTTTTTAATTACATGCACACATCTGGACATAGTGTGCAGAATGGGAAAAAAATGTATATTTCGAGCATCATTGGAGCTTTCCACTCCTTTCCTAGATGTTATCAAGACGGAATAATGAAGTTAATTTGAGCGAGTATCAATAAGCTCATATATGAAGCATGCAAATTTTGGTGAAAGAGAAAATTCCATGATGTATCAGAATGAAGTTTACTTAACCCAGCAAGCTTGCTAACTTAACTAAGAGAGAGTGAGGGTTTGTATACACATCTGGCGTAGAACATAATATGATAAACATTAATGCATAGCCCATATTGATATTAGGGCAAAATTTAGAGATCTGAACCTTGACAAATACGTTCATGGTTATATATATATTATTGTTTACTTAAAACCTAGACAGATCTTGATCAGTATACGCAAGAGAGTGAAATCGTGTGGACTAAATGGGGTGGTCATCGAATTCGGCTGTGGGTGACAGAAGCCTTGGAGTTTAAACACGACAGCTAAGTCTGAAAATTGCGGTTGTTTTGGCATCGATTTGAAATGTGTAGTTATTGATAACAATGGTCTCACACGTTTGTCGCTATCGATTCAGAGTATTATTTAGATACATAAAGTTGACGCATTTGTTTTTATAATATTCTCCAGTACACAGGTGAATCTTGCGTCCAATTATATGGCTTACTACTTCATTAGGTGTGTGATTAACATGTGTTAGTTTTATATATTTAAATAAAAAATAATTATGCTATTAAATTTAGGAGAATGAACGATGCAATGCAATTACGTTAATCATCGTTGTTAAGACGTTCAGTTCCTATATCATATTAATAGAACTGCTCTACTAAGGTCCTAACTTTATGGACTTATAAGGTCCTTGTTCATATGAGCCATCAAATTAATTTTATAAGCTATCAACTTAAATAAAAGATTGGATGAAATTGGATGTGTAAAGTTATTAGGGTTTTATGCAATTGGATTTGCAGAGTTTAGATATTTCATAGGGAGACTAGGTTTTGCAGATGGAAGAGATTCGACATGACGTGAAACCTTCTTCTCTTCTTATTTTTTTTATTTTATTTTTTTTT